ATACTGAACATCCAGAAGTAAACTGGAGTGATTATCTGAAGCAACACTTAGCTGTATCTCAGACTATTTGCATGTCCTGTTATTTGAAATGCAGTCACTGCTTTTCCAGTCCTCCCATTCCATTTAATTCTCCTTGAAAGAGTCTGGACCTGCAGTCACTGAATCACAGAATATCCTAAGTTGGAAGGTTCCCACAAGGACCACTGAAGTCCAACTCCTGGCCCTGCCCAGGACAGCCCCAAGAACCACACCATGTGACTAAAGGTGAAAAATGTCTTTGACAGCCATGCAATTATTCTTTTTAAAATCAGTTAGGTACCAGTTCATGTTGTTCCTCAAGTGCAGCTTGAAAAAACAAACATATAACTTTTATGTATAACGAGCACTGAGTAAAGTTTGACTTACATTTAGAAAATAAATTATATAAATCCAGCTATTCTTCTGGAGTTAAAAGAACATGGTACAGCACTGGCACCTCAGTTTTATTTCAAGAAGGACGCTGGTTACCTTCTCATGTTAGTGAACCTGATTTTGTCACAAAAGAAGATCTTCTAGCATAAAATTATATACCAATGTATAGTTTGGAAGAATCTGATTTGAACTGTCAAAGATTATTTACTCAGAAATATGACTATTTATGAAAACCACTAGTAAAATGTGTTAGTGGTGGTACACTGGAAGAGGAAAAAATACAGTTAAGACTGTTCTATTTCCATATACAACTTTTATTGCAATACCTGTGTTCTAAGTGTACAGATACAAATATAAAATGACCCATGACAGGCTTTAAAGCTGCCCAAGTAGCAAACTGAGAAATTAATTCAGTATTATAGCCAAAGTTGACAGGACTTCAACAGGTGATAGGAAGCTTCCCCAGTCTCTCTCCAAGAACAACCAGGATCCACCATAGTTTTGGTCCAAGATGTATGCTTTAAGTTGGCAGCTGAGTCTAGGAACGAGTGTATTTACCCCAGATGTGCAGCATAAACACAGAAGCAATAAAAAGAAGACTCATGACCAAAACTGGAACAGGTCCACTAAAAACAAAGAGAAAATGCATTAACATAAAAAATAAGTCTGTCTTGCCCATTATCAGCCAAGTGAGCGCATCAGTTCATATGAAATTGTACAAGAAAACTCTTCTTCCCTTCCCAAAAAAATACCTTAAGGCACACAGAAATGAGATAGCCATCTCTATCAAAAACTGCTGCTGCCACCACTGTTTTAAAAGACAGTTCTATACACCCTAAATGCTACATAAAAAAAGCACAACAAACCACCCGCCCTTGTTAAAAAAGCCATTAATGGTTCATTATTATTCATCACTGTTTCCACAGTCTCTGGAAAAGTATCCTCTGTGTTTACAACTCAGATAGCCCACTGAGCAAAAATGCAGTCCAATATAAAAAAAACAACAGAGTCCTCTAGCGGCTACTAAAATTTTGGCAAAAAATTCTCATTAGCTGTTTTATTTTAGAGGTTTTGTTTCATTTGAAAACAATGGCAGCAGTGGATGGGACTTCTGCTTTCTTGAAAAACATACACAAAGTGGCAAAGCTATGTCATTAAATCTTTACCTAAAATGAATACATTAATTTTTTTTTATTCTTACTTTCATATATTGTTTAGAAATTACATAGTAATGTTTTTAAAAAACAGGTTAATCTTAGGGCGCACGTTGATAATTTCAATCAGCTGTTTCATGCTCTTCTGAGATGCAATAGATACATAAATACACACACTCAACACTCCTTCATATCACTCGCTTCACACAATCTCATTTTTGATTTTCAACATGCTATTGGGAAATCTGTTATCCAGCCTGTGTTACCCTCCAGGGTACGGTTTATAGGCATGTAAATGCTACCTGAATACATAGGAAAAAAAATGAAACTGAAAAGGGATTCAAAGAGTTTACTCACGTATTTTTTCTATGAGATCATGATCCACATACTTGAAATTATCACAACTGTCATCTTACATTGAGTTTTTAAAACTCAATTATCATCTATCATACTTAGACTTATTTGGGTATGGAGAATCCAGAACACAGACATAAAACATTTAGCAAATAAACCAATAACAAAATAAACAAAGTCCACATACATGGTGACTACGCAAGCAACTCCTTCAAGGGGTCTTTCACTAAGCAACAGAATGTAATTCTCAAACTTTAGTATTTTATACATATAAATATATATATTTATTTTATAATTTTTATTTATTTATATATATGTATACATGTAATTTTATAGCCTATAATGTAAATCATCATTTATAGTCCTTACACTGTATTTGAATTACTATTTAATTCATTTGAGCCTTCAGCAGTAGGAACAGGTAAGCTGCTCTGCCAGAGGCACATGGGAACAAAGCAGCACCACTAATCAGAACAGAACTACATGGAAATAAACAGTGGAGACTGATTGTGCGTTCAGTGCTTTTTTAACATGAAGATGACCTTGAACTGCTAGAGAAAAATCAACTCTCCAATACAGACACATATATCTCATTTCCTCCAGTCCCAAAGAAAACCTGTTGAAACCCTGCAATTCTCCTCCACACACCTGCATCTTCTCAGCCTAACACAAACAAATAAATGGATTCAGACACCTCTAAAGATATGATACTGTGCATTCTCAGAATGTCTTTCATAAGGCTGCACAAGCTCAATTTGACTTTCTATCCACAGGAAAGCTGCCTATAGCTCTTTAAGCAAGGAAGACCAAGATAAGATACAGGAACCACAGGTACCAAGTGACTCAAAAAGACAAAAAAGCTTGGGTTCAGTTTTCTTTTCAAAGCATGCAATCTCCAAGCTTTAAAGATAAAAACATCATATCCCCTCTCAGCCAAATCCCCCACAACTCTCTTTCACTAACAGCTGTTTTTAAAGGCACACACATCTTGAAGTATGTTGTAATGCAAATAAAGGATCTTTCCTGAGGGGAACCAACTTGCCTATTCAACATATTTATTATTTTGGATATTGAATACAGCTACAAAAATACCCAAAGCATCAATCTAATTCTGCACAATATAAGATAAATAAACTTTTTTATCTAAAGCAAAATTCCCCTCCTTGTAGCTACTATGAATTAACCTGTTATCAGGTGGTTTTACATATTTTCTCATACTAATGTTAAGAGCTTGCATTTTAAACAATATGAAAAAACGCCAAAAAAGCCCACCTACCACCACTACCAGGCTAAGGTTTCCCACTGCTTTATGCAGTAGTGATCACAACCATTTCTAAAAATGGTTTCTAAAAAACAACTTCACAGTGAAGCACTTCACAATGAGGCAATCTCAAATCTTTCATAACCCATTTTCATTTTAAAGCCTACTAAACAGGCAGAGATAATAACAATTGGTTGCTATGGAAAAAAAAAAACTGAAGAAAAATATCTAGAAAGCTGTAAGCAAGAAAGTTGCTACCTAGCCATGGCTCAGAAAAAGTTACATCTAGTGCGGGGTGCTTCGTAAAACCAACTCCCTTTTATAGATTTGATTCTTTCATTAAAAGCATGACCATACAGTTACCCAAAGTAGCTTCCAAATAAACCACTCCCAGTGCTCCAAAACCTTAAAATTGGGAATCACTGTGACACAACATAAATAGATGCGAAAATCTGTTTACTGATCTGCTTGCACTGAAGATGAGAACAACTGAGTGGCCATTCAGCACCAAAAGTGAAATCAAAGGATTCACAAGGAAACTTAGCAAAATTGTTAAAGGTTGTATCACAAGTCTATTAAAAAATCATAATACCCTTCTGGGGTTTTTTCCTGTTTAGTGTAATTAATTTTTTTAATTGAACTTTAGGACACCAAATAACAGAGAAAACAGTTGCACTGCCTATCTGCATAGATTTGCTCTAGAATACTATTGCTGCTCATTGTCTTTTTTTTGCCTTGTCTCCTTTCTGTACTCAGAATGGAGTAAGCAAGGCAGAACAGCACCACTTTGATGGTTTGCTGGATGCAGTTTGTTTTCTAAAGTTTCAAGTACATATGAAAATGAAAACACATAAAACAACATCAAAGGATTACTCATGGAACAATCACTAAGTAGCCTATCACCATGCCCTTCCCCAAATGCACAGCTAGGAGCAGCCCTCTTGAAGAACTCCAAAAGAAAATATTAATGGATTTGAGAAAAAAAACCAAGCAACAGGATCAGCCCTGAGCATTTCAAGACTTTTCAACCCAGTAAGAACAAGAGCTCCTGAACTGTAATTCTACAATAAGCACAAATTTCCACTCAGGATGTAACTTGGCATACACTCATCAGCTCAAATACACCTTCCACTTTTGTTACCCAAGTATTAGGCTTCAAAGTTTGTTGGGAAAGTCATCTGAATGACTAAAAGTGGTCAAAAGAGTATAAACTTAGGCTCTCGTTATAGTTTAAGGGACATTACTAGGTATTTGACCATAATCTTGGAACATTCAACTTGTGAAAATGGAGATATACAAGGTATTGGCAGGCTATTTGCTAGGCAAATTCAGCTAAAGTAATTTATCTGCAGCTTTTTAACAAAAACACCTGATGTGTCCATATGGTGTATCAGTTATATTGTATTTTCAAGGGGTGCACAGCTATTATAAGAAAAAAAGATTTTTACTTAAAAGAGAATGAAAAAATGCACACAGATGCTTTAATTCATTGAGATAAGTGATCTTTCTCAACTTCAAAGTGATTGCTTACAGCCTTCAAAGACAACATAGGGTAAGCTTTGGCAATTACAACTTGTACCCACCTTTTTCAAACCACTGTATCTTTAAAAACATCTTCTCTAGGGTTACAGATTAAATATGTTCATCCCAACCATCAACGCAGCAAGTTTTCCCATGCACACCAGAACACTGACAGATGTCAGTGTTTTATTAATCTGACAGATGTCAGATTTTTATTAATTCAAAGACTGCAAGACTATGTAGGCAGGGGAACTCTACGGCCTTCAAGCCTGCCACCAGCACCCATTCACCCAACTTACACTTTGAGCCCTGGAGAGTCCTCAGTGTAGAACCGCCACATCCCACCAGTCCCTGTGGACGTGGCACGGCCTGCACTCCTTGTCCCACAGCTGGCATTTTTCCTTTGAGAGATGACAGAAGAAAACAAAGACCAAACAACACGTTAGTAGTCCACCAGCTTCTAGGACCAAGCAGCCCACGAGACTCTGCAGAAACAATATACTTCACAGAATCAATCAGGTTGGGAAAGACCTCTAAGATCATCAAGTCCAACCTATGACCCAACACCACCGTGTCAACTAGACCACGGCACTAAGCGCCATATCCAGTCTTTCCTTAAATACCTACAGGTACAGTGACTCCACCACCTCTCTGGGTAGCCCATTCCAACGTCTAATCACCCCTTCCTACTGATGTCCAAGCCAAACATTCCCTGGCACAGCTTAAGACTTGTGCTCTCCTACCCTGTCACTAGTTGCCTGGGAGAAGACACAGACCCTCACCTGGCTACACCCTCCTTTCAGGTGGTTGCAGAGAGAACGATAAGGTCACCCCTGAGCCTCCTTTTCTCTAGGCTAAACACCCCCAGCTCCCTCAGCCCCTCCTCACAGCCCTGGTGCCGCAGACCCTTCCCCAGCAGCGTTGCCCTTCTCAGGACAGGCATCAGCCCGTGCTGCCACGTCAGCAGAGGGCACCAGCCCGGCAAGCAGAGCGCACGACGGCGGCAAGAGCTGTCCCCGCTGGGCAGCGGCGGCGGGCACCCACCTCTGCCGGACGGTGGATCCCGCGGCGCGGGGAGCCACAGCCTTGCTGGGGGAGCGGCCGGAGGAGCCGACACTGGTGGCGCTGGGGTTGGGTCCGGGCTGCGGAGAGAGGAGAGAAACGGGAGGGGGTGAGAGGCGGCGGGCACTGCCGGCGGGGAAGGGGCGCCTCAGCCGCCCCCTGCCTGGGGCAGCCTCTCACCATGGCGGCGGCGCTGGCTTGGCTCGGCTCGGCTCGGCGCGGTCTCACTCACGCTCCGCTACAGCCGCTCCGGCCACGTCCCCGTCCGCATCAGGCTCCGCCCCGCGCCGTGCATCCCGGGGCCTCGCGGCTTCCCTGGATAATGCCTGAGCAGCAGCAGCTCCTCATCCCTGTACCCCTCGCTCGGCGGCCGCGTTCCGAGACCGCTGCCCCCCGTGACGCCTCGGTCGCGCCCGCTCCTTGCGCAGCGGCCGGGCCGGCGCGGGAGCGCGGCGAACGGCGCGTCGGGCAGCAGCGGGGCCGCCCGGCGGGCGGGGCGGGCGGGAAGGCCCGGGAGGAAGGGAAGCAAGGCTGACGTGTCGCACCGGGGCTGCCGGGCTGCGCATGCGACCGCGCGGCGGCGGCGGCGGCGGCTATGGAGGAGGCGGGGGAAGCGGGAGGAGCGGGCCCGTCCGTGCTGTTCCTGCACCCGGACCTGGGCCTGGGCGGCGCGGAGCGGCTGGTGGTGGACGCGGCGCTGGCGCTGCGGGCGCGGGGCTGCCGGGTGCAGATCTGGACGGCGCACTACGACCCCGGGCGCTGCTTCGCGGAGACGCGCGGGCTGGCGGTGCGGCGGGCGGGCGGCTGGCTCCCGCGCAGCCTGTGCGGCCGCGGGCACGCCCTGTGCGCCGCCCTGCGCATGGCCTGCGTGGCGCTCTACGTGCTGCTGCTCAGCGGAGAGACCTTCGACGCCTTCGTGTGCGACCAGGTGTGGGGAGACATGGACATGGACATGGGCATGGGCATGGGCATTGGCATGGGGACGGGAGCGCCGCTGCCGCTGGCCCCACTGGAGGCGGGGATGCTGGTGGGCTGCTCTGCAGAGAATCACAGAATTGTTAGGGTTGGAGTGGGTGTCTGGTGATCATCTACTCCAAACCCCCTGCCAAAGCACCTACAGCAGGTTTGGAATGCCTCCAGAGAGGGAGACTCCACGACCTCCCTGGGCAGCCTTTTCCAGTGCTCTGCCACCCTCAATCTAAAGAAGTTCTCCATGTGAATGTAGAAGTTCACGTGTTTTAGTATATGGCCACTGCTCCTCATCCTGTCACTGGGCACCACTAAAAAGTCTGGCAGCATCCTCTTGAGATGAGATCCACCTTTGAGATATTTATATGAATTAATCGGCTCCTAGTTTCTCTAGATTAAACTAGCCCAGTTCCTGCAGTCTCTCATAAGAGACATGCTCCAGAACCCTGGAGTATCAAATCCCCCCAAAATGGGATTCATTATCAGGTGTACAACAAGCCAATAATGACACATTCAAGAGAGAGACATGGATTGTTCATTTCAGATCTGTGCAAGCCTGGCTGCTCCACGGTGTTCCACAAATTAAGGACACCCCATCAGGCTTTCTGTACCATCTTTTATACATAGAAATTCAGAGTTAGTAACTTCCCAACTGTGGCACCTCATAATGTTATGATTGGTTAATAATTTCCAGAGAAGGGAAGTGAAGCTGGAGGATGATCTGGAGCTCAGGTCTTATGACAAGTGGCTGAGGGAGCTGGGATGTTTATCTGGGAGAAAAGGAGGCTCAGGGGAACCTTATTGCCATCTATAACTGCCTGAAAGGATGTTCTGGCAGGTGGGGATTGGTCTCCCTGACAGCTAGTGACAGGATGAGAGAACATAGTCTTAAGCTGTACCAGGGGAAGCTTAGCTTGGACATTAGGAAGAATTTTTTCAGAGAAGGTGATTATACATTGGAATGGACTGCCAAAAGAGGTGATGGAGTCACCGGCCCTGAATATATTTAAGGAAAGATTGGATGTGGCCCTTTTTGCCATGGTCTAGTTGACACAGTGATGTTTGGTTATTGTTGGGACTCGGTGATCTCTTTTCCAACCTAATTGATTTTGCGGTTCCGTGCAAGTTACGTATTCCCAATTAACTTCTACACTTGCTTGGGGAAATGGTCTTCACCTGAGCAGGGGTCTTCCTGACCCGTGGGTGTGATTGTTAGTGTTATAATGAACATAGTTTAGCTATAGGATACATGGACCTTGAGTATTTTGCAAAGTTAGCAATGTATACATAGACATAAATCAACATCTTGATTTACTACATCTTTAAGGCTGGTTAGTTCCAGAAAGTCATTGACTAAGAGGTGCTAGCTGCTGACAGTTCCACTGATGAGGTCTTCTTTCTTGATGATTAGGCTTGAAAGTATACAAAGATCTTACATCAAAGAATGTCCTGACTTTATATAATCTTGACATATTCCACATTTTGCGATTTACCTCTTACGTTCTGGGGCAGCTGGAGGGAGAGGACGCCACTGCTGCTTGCGCTCAGCTCCCAGCACCTGTGGTAGTGGTAGAAGGAGGTGCTTGGAGACATCTTGGGGCTTGATGGGACCTTGGTGGGGAGCAGGGAGAAATTACAGGGCCACAAGAGGTCCTGGATGAGGGAGTACAACTTGATGTGCTTGTGTGGGGGAGAGGGAGAAGGCACTTGGCTTGCAAAGCAGTGGCTCTCAGAGCATGGCTTTGAAATCACATGTACACACTGGTGGCAGTGTTGTACAAACAATTAACCTCTCCTCTTGTCCTGTCTCTCTGGTTGCACTAGGTGTCTGCCTGCATTCCTATACTCAGACTGGCCAGAACCCGTAAGAAGGTTTTGTTTTACTGTCACTTTCCCGATCAACTCCTGACCAAGAGAGAATCTTTCCTGAAGCGCCTCTACAGACTGCCGCTCGACTGGCTGGAGGAGTACACGACTGGCATGGCAGACTGTATTGTTGTGAACAGCAAGTTCACTGCCAGCGTGTTCAAAGACACATTTAAGTCCCTATCACACATAAACCCAGATGTCCTCTACCCATCGCTCAACATCCGTAGCTTTGAAGAAATTGTTCCGGCAGACATAGCTGATCTGATACCGAAAAAGAAAAAGTTCTTGTTTCTTTCCATTAATAGGTATGAGAGGAAAAAAAATCTGACGTTGGCTCTCGAAGCTTTGCACGAACTTCGAGGGAGACTTGATTCTCACGAGTGGGATGAAGTTCACCTGGTTATGGCAGGTGGTTATGATAAGCGAGTTCTGGAAAATGTGGAGCACTATGAAGAGCTGAGGAGACTCGCAGCTAAACTTGATGTTAATGACCATGTAACTTTTCTGAGATCATTCTCAGATGAACAGAAAATATCTCTTTTTAGTAATTCTGTATGTGTGCTTTACACGCCAAGCAATGAACATTTTGGCATTGTCCCTTTGGAGGCAATGTATATGAGATGTCCAGTTATAGCAGTTAATTCAGGTGGTCCTTTAGAATCAATCTCACATAATGTTACAGGATTTTTGTGTGATCCTCTACCAACCCAGTTTGCTGATGCCATGGAAAAAATTGTGAGAGATCCTCTCTTAAAGGACACAATGGGAGCAGCTGGGAGAGTGAGAGTTATGGAAAAATTTTCTTCAGAAGCTTTCTCAGAACAGCTGTACCAATACATACGCAGATTAACAGAATAAAATTATATTCCTATGTTATATTTTACAATATTGTGTCTCTCATTTGTGTAGGGGACTAGTATTCATTGTGACTAATGAAGAACTAGGGATATCTGAATGTCCTTGTTTTGCTTCTTGTGCTGCCTTATGTCACTTGACACATAGAAGGAGCAAAACACATCCCACTGTGTTATTAGAAGGTTAAAATTTTCATGTGGTAGACTGCTCTGCCATTGCAGGAGTTATTTTTTGTACTGTGCCTTGGAAAAATGCAAAGTTTAATGGCAGTAACTTACTGCAGGAAAATTACTGTATGTTTTATTTAATAGTGTATGGAGTGGCTGATTCAATTTACAAAATTTGGATTTGTCCAGGTAAGACACACAGAGCCTTATTTTTATGTATTTAAAATGGTCATCAGTAATTTGTAGGTAAAAGGGCTATCTCAGCTTAAATACAGAGAGAATTGCACAGTCCAACCAACTGCATGTTCCAAAAACCCAGCAGTGTTAGGAATATGAATGGTATTGCTTTTAAATGATTGAGCATTACTGTGCTTGTCTAATTGCATTATGTAGTCACACTGGGTGTCAGAAAAGCATACAGGTGTGTGAGCAGGAGGAAGTGACACTAGAATAACACCAAGGATATCAGACTGCCTCAGGCAAAAAGGTTAGTGCTGAAATCTATGTTTGTTCATAACCTGCAGTGCTTGAAGACGTAATTTTACTTTGGGAGTTTCTGGTTTGTAGATACTTAAATGATTTTCCCTGTATTTAACATTTCATTCTAAATGACAGCACGCTTTTAAAAAAGGTCTTAATCTGGACCAGGCAATAAAGACATTTTATTTTGCCTAATTTAGTGGCAACTTTATGTTTTCCTAATGCAGTGTGTGCATACGTGACAGTACTGTGATATTTTTTTTCCCAGGCTGGTCTGGGGAAAGGAATAGATTTTTTGTTCATCTACCTCTCTTTTAGCACATCCTTATTAGTTGATGGTTCTGCTTGTTATAATGCACATAATCCATACAATTGAGTTTTAAGTGTGAAAATAGATCCAGTGAAATCCACTGTTACCTATAGAATACAATTTGCAGTGTGATATGAAATATAATTTGTGGTCTGAATTCTGCAATTTCTATGTAAGGTAGTTTCAGGCATTTCCACATTAGTACTTACCAACAGAGACCATTCTTTTTGTTGCTTAGGACCAAAACCCACGTCTCACCCACAGTATGCTTATAAGGCTTTTATTTGAAGTAAAACAAACAAAAATCAAAGTCTGTCATTGTCTTTAATCAAGAAGTTGGAGTACTCTAATTTTTATTTGTTATGGAGTTAGAGCAGATGATCTCACAGGCCCTGTTTCCTACATTGCTATTCAATCAGAAAAACTGGCAAGCCTAAATCTATATTCTTTCTAGCCTGTTCCTGCATTTCTATTCTATTCCCACCCTTAAAAGTTTTCCTAAATCTTTGTGCAACTTTTTCATCATGGGTGTGGCCATGGATGACTGAAGGACCAGAAGAGAGTGAAAGCTGTGGTCAGATAAACACCCTCGAGACATGTTTGGCCTCGGTTTTAAATTCCATTTAGAAGGTGCAAGGTGGTTGGGGCCAATTCCTGTGCTTGCTTAGTCCGTGTTACATTCTCCTCTCTCA